TCAGCAGGACATAAAGTGAGGGCTACCCAGCTCCAAATTGTCCTTTGGCAATTTTATCTCTTCCTGACAACCCCCAAGACAGGATTAAAGGGGCCCTCATGCTTCTAAGGATGCCACACAGTCTTTGTAGGAAGATTTACCAATGGCCAGATTTAAGGGGGGGACCTGAAAAGTCCATGTACTTTTGTCAAGACCACTGCTACTCCCTCCCACCATATTCTGCATCTCAGCTCTCAATCTAGCTAAACTAACAGTGCCCAGAGGAGATTATCCTATCCCTCCTCACCCCTTGCCCCCATCAAGAGAAGTGAGAACTTGGGGATTTGGTATCTGGAGGTAGAAACATGGTGGGTACAGTTCAGATTCCGGGAGGGTTCACATTCAAGGACCAGGGCTCCACAAGATATCATGATTTAGTTACTAGTTTGGAATGGTCAGAAATTGAAGTCACCAGTGAAAGCTTGAAATTTTAAGGGAGTTCCAGAGAAATACCAAGCCTGGGAAATATAATTTACCTCAACCTTTTAAATTTCCATCAACTGTGGTCATGAAGTGTGCAGCACGTTGCAGTGTTGAAGACTTGGGATTGGTGCCTATGTGCCTCTTGTGGCCTCTTCCAATAACCTCTGTGTCATTATCTATGGAAGACAGTGCCTGAGGGAGGTCTTCCAAGGAGAATAGTCAGTGATGGGCAAACAAAAAACATTCTGCGGGCTGGGGCAGAAAGTCCTTGCTCTTCTGGTCCACGTGTTTTTATGGATCAGTGGGTACGCTGTTGGCCTCCTCTCCTTTTCCAGGCAGGTTATGTAACTATTGATGTATCTTACTCCATATTCCATTAGAGGCCTCTGATTAGGAAAGAGATTGATTTGGGTTAACAAACATCTTTGGGGTTGCAAAAGTCCCCAAGAAGGTCAAAAATATTGGTCATCAATACCTGAGCTCAGTAAAGCATTGACTAAGTAAGGCCATTTTTACTGCTGGTGTCAGCTTGAGAGACTGGAAATCTCGACTGAGAGTTGGTGTATTTGCTTGCTAGGGCTGCTTGAACAAAGTGCCACAAACTGGCCACTTACATAACAGAAATTTATTGCCTCACAGTTCTACAGACCACAAGTCCGAGATAAAGGTGTCGGCAGGCTTGGTTCCTTCTGAGGGCTATGAGGCAGAATCTGGTCCATGCCTCTCACCTAGCTTCTGGTGGTTTGCTGGACATCTTTGTAAAAGCATCACCCTGATCTCTGCCTCTATCTGCACATGGTGCTCTCCCTGTGTGTTGCCTGTGTCCAAGTTTCCCCTTTTTATAAGGATACCAATCATACTGGATTAGTGTCTACCATACTCCGGTATGACTTCATCTTACCTAATCGCATATGCAATGACCCTATTTCCAAATAAGGTCGCGTTGTGAGGTACTACGGGCTAGTACTTAAACATATGAATTTTGGGGGCATACAATTTATCCCCAAATAGTTGGGAAGCTTGAGGAATGAGAGAGTGAAGGGAGAAGTGACATGCAGAAACTCATGCAGACCATCACTCTTTAGACCATCACTCTTTCCTGCCCTTCTGTTTTCTGTCTCCAACTCTTTTTCTTCCATCTCTGTTAAGACTAAGACAGAATTCCCCTCTTCCAATCTTTAGAAATACATGTATACATTTCCCCTGACAAATAGTGGGACTCTTTTCCAATGCCTGTCTTTAAAAAATGGTTTGATAGGTGTGGTCCTTCTTCCACACCAGCCCCCTGAAATATTTTGAAGAGTTTTGACAGTAGAGGTCAGGACTTGAGTTTCTGTTCTTTCATTATGGTACTCCCTTTTCTTCCTATCTTCCCTATCTTCCCAGTGCTAAATGTACAGTAGGAATTCAACCAAAGGTCTCTAATTTAAATGAATTCAGATGATTCCCCCCACCCCAAGCAACAAAATGGAGATTCATGTGGTAGAATAAATCATCATTTTTATTATTTCTTGTGAATGAGATATTTTCCAGAGAATAGCATCGTATGTATTCATATTAGAATTATTGGAAACAATAAGTAGAGATCAATTTTTTAAAATGATAATTTCTCAGAAATGTATGTTTTCAGATCATGGAAGATTATAAGCGATTGATCTTGGACAAACATAAGTTTGTTTTGATGTTTTGAAGTTTTGAAGCGCTCTCTTGCCCTGTGAGAGTGACTTAATATGAATGAATAAAATATACTGCTCTGGCTGGATTGAAAATAGGTACATCTCTACTATGGAATTCTAATAATCATTTTATTCACTTAAAAATTTACATATCGTAAAATTATCAGTGTTCTTTTGAACTTGCTACTTTCTCAAAATTCAGTTATCCCAATAACTTTCAAAGTCTTAAGTCTAATGATTCTATAAAACCTCTTCTTTCAATATGTTTCCTAAAGCTTCCTTTTTATATGTCTTCTTTTGAAATAATGGTCTGTGGACTATTTTACAATACAGGGTATGCAGGGTGTCTCAAGCCACTTTGCATAATGGTGGTCATATAATGAATGGGGGCAAGAGGTGCAGGCAGTGTTAGCATGGATCACTAGCTTACTGAAGCTCAGGCCCTTTAAAGCATGCAAGAGAGAACAAGCAATTATCTATCTTTCAAGCTGGATAAAAGCTACACGAACACACATTGGATGGAAACAAACAACAAACAAATCAGTATGGATTTGTTGACTGCTGTGGTGTTTAATTAGCTCTATAGTAAGACTTTTCTATACTTAGCCCTCTCTCTCTGCTCAAGGTGAAGCAAATCACTTCCCTGTTAATAATGCATGTGTGGATCTTACCTTGGCTGTGTCTGTATTACAGTCAATGGTCCAAACCATCAAGACCACTGCCAGCACCTTGGCATGGTCCAGCTCTCCATCCTTGCTGTTGCCCTGTTAACTGCTAAAGAACTCAGACTACCCATGGCAGCAGTGTCCGAATTCATGTGTTATTTATCTTCATATGTTGCCTTTGAAGTCTTTTCTAAAGCCTAATATTTTTCTTTCTGAAACCCAGAAGACATTGATTTAATAAAATATTAGCTGATCATTTCCAAGTTATTTCAACAGATTTAAACCTATTTTTTTCCCCCACATAGCTAAGTCAAAGTCACTTACACTACACAAAAGTTAAGTGTGTCTCCATCACCATTTCATCTGAGGATAGTAAACTCCTTTGATTTCCATAGCTGGAGGAACCACCCAGCCCAAAGTCCTGGCACATACAGGAGGGAAAATGTCGGTTGCGGAGCTCTCTGAAGTCAGTATTCATCATGAAATGGGTATTCAGGATGGTCACACCACCTGCCAAAACAATTCCCCCAAAGGGAAAAAGTTCACTTCAAATGCTGCATGGCTGTATGTGTTACTAGCATCCTTCGGTAACTTCACCGACCAATCCCTCTTTCTCTTACTCATTCCATTTCTGTTTTGTGCCCATTCTCCTCCCGTTTCCCCTCAAGCCAGCACCTTTTACTGAAGCCCCAGATAGCACCCTGGGTGTAAGTGTGGGGTGGGAGGCTTGCGGGGGTGAAGGCTAGTTGTCTCCACATTAATATTTTCTTAGAACAAAAGCGTAGTAGGTGAGCAATACCTGCCTACTTACACACTTCATCCCAGCTTCTTCCTCCTTCTGCTCTCTTGATATAAACTGCCTCCCATTTCAATAAACCACATAAGCATTTCTCTTCAAAACTCTATTATGGGGCTTCCCTGGTGGAGCAGTGGTTGAGAGTCCATCTGCCGATGCAGGGGACGCGGGTTTGTGCCCCGGTCCGGGAGGATCCCGCATGCGGTGGAGCAGCTGGGCCCGTGAGCCATGGCCGCTGAGCCTGCGCGTCCGGAGCCTGTGCTCCGCAACAGGAGAGGCCACAACAGTGAGAGGCCCGCGTATTGCAAACAAAACAAAACGAAACAAAGCAAAAAACTCTATTATGAATCAGTGTCAGTCTCTTCTCAGAGTTTTTACTTGCCCCTATCACTAGGCCTCCTGAGAGTTGAAAGTTTGAGATTTAGAAAGTTGATGACCAGCAAAGTAAGTTTCCATGATGATGATGACAGTGATGATAATGATGAAGCTACCTCTTAAATAAAAATGGTGAAACAGTCTATAAAAGGACTGGAGTGTGTGTGTGCCTGTACTGAAGCACACCTAAGATTTAGTTCTCTGCAAGTACTATGAGCTTTAAATTAAAATATAAAACAAAACCAAAGAAGGTTCTCAAATATCAAGGATCAGCCGGATGAAAAGCAGCAGAACCTTGGCCCAGCATCCCTAAATGATACATTTTTTTGATTAATGGGGCCTAATCTTTGTTTCTCCTTGCTGATTTTTCTAGTTATTTCCAGATGCGATGAGTTATTTTCCCAGTGTTGCTAGAATTAGGTATTAAAAATGTCAAATGTCGGGCTTCCCTGGTGGTGCACTGGTTGAGAATCCACCTGCCAATGCAGGAGACATGGGTTGGGGCCTTGGTCCAGAAAGATCTCACATGCCATGGAGCAACTAAGCCTGTGTGCCACAACTACTGAGCCTGTGCTCTAGAGCCTGTGAGCCACAATTTCTGAGCCCGCGTGCCACAACTACTGAAGTCCATGCGCCTAGAGCCCATGCTCCTCAACAAGATAAGCCACTGCAATGAGAAGCCCATGCACCGCAACGAAGATTAGCCTCTGCTCACCGCAACTAGAGGAAGCCCGCGTGCAGCAACGAGAACCCAACACAGCCATAAATAAATAAATAAATAAATAAATAAAATGTCAAATGTCAAACCAAATAATGTCACTAACCAACTGTAAAAAAAAAAACAAAAAAACAGCACATTGGTGGATTGGCTATCTCTTACTATTTTTAATTTAATGATATTTATTCAATAGAAATAGTTTATCTTCAAGAGCTGTTAATTAACGTGTAAGTGTTAGTTCTGTGTTTGTGTTTACTTCTATGTTCTTGAGGCTAGGAGGTGCTTCTTGATTTCAAATAGTTTTTCCCCTGGAAAATTCACATTAGAAAGCTGTTTATTAATTCAGAAATTGATTCAGAAATTCAGTGTTAGCATAGTCTGCACTTTCTGACTCATGAAAAATAGTGGGACCAATAAGATAAGCGCCCAAACTATACAAACCATCTTAACGAGCATTTTCTAAATGCTCACTTAAAGAGAAGATTGTAAAAAGAATACTATCCAGGTGATTTCAAGAACTGGAAATACTAATGAAGAATGATTAAGAAGAAAAAATGTGGGTATGTATGTATACAAATATATACGTGTATATATATACATGAACTGTATTCTTTTTTTTTATTTTTAAGGCTCTGTAATATTCAGAGAAAAAAGGGTTACTTCAGTTGATAGTTAAATCGAAGGAATTTTGCTTGTGGGAAGTCAGACAATAGGTGAAGCCAGAAGCTCCAAATCTTATAGGCAAACATTTGTCTAAAACTCAACCTGGTGCTCTTTCTACTACACTCTAATGCCTCTCTCCCAGGAATTGTTCTTTTTGACAGCTTTGCTCTAATTTGTGCCCACTTTGATTTCTAAGGAAGAAATAAGTATGTTGTTTGCATATCTGTGCAGCTGTTGTATTAACATAACAAAATCTGTGATTTAATTCTCCTCAATGTTTTTAGCCTGTGATGCCTTAACCTAACCAATGGGAATGTCATAAATGTCAGAAATATTCTTTTAAACAAAAATGCAGGTTTGTAGGAAGTTCCTAATTCAGAATATGCTGCCCACCGGCCTTTACCCTTGTGCCTTCCATGGACATGGTCACGATTCATGAGAACCTGTTGGTTGACGCTTGACAATCCAACATCACTGCACAGAACCTGATTAATGATCCCCCAGAACTCACATGAGCATTTCCACGAAGCGGACATTTTTATTCAGGTCTTCAATGTCCTTCATTTCTTCTTCAGTGAGAGAAAAGTCAAAGATCTGAAATAACAGAAACAAAAAACAGACATTTATAAATAGTAGAAGATGGGTCAAGCTTGGGATCAGGGAGTGAGGCCAGCAGTGGGAGCCCTTCAAAGATTTATGAACATCTCTGCAAATGTCTTAGAGGAGTTGGGCTAGTGCGGGGGGGGGGGGCCACCCCACCCATGTGGAGGTGGAATTCTTTCTGCCCTTTGTCTTTAAGACAATCCTTCTGGGGACATCTTGCAAGAAATTTCAAATGTTCTGAAACAATACACATTCAGAACATCTCCTAAAAATCTAAAAGTGAAGAATTCTTATTATTTTGGTATAAGATGCTGAACTTTTGATTCTGGACTATGGCCTTCGTGCACTTTTTTTTTTTTAACAAAAATATTCCCTAGTCTCTAAATTTGCTTATGTATTTTTTTAACTTTTAATTTGCTTTGGTTCATCATATTAATCCTTTCTCTTATCATTTTTAATGTCTCTTTATCTACCTTTTAATTCTAATTACTTTTTCATTGTTTTTTTTTAGCTTGTACAGTTTGTACCTTGGTTTTATAATTGTCCTTTATGAACATTTTAATAGTTTATTTTAGCTTATTTATATTTTTAACAGTTGATTTGTTTATAATTTCTCTTATTGTTTTATCTTTCTATCCCTTAACTTTTAATTTAGTAATTTACATGAATAAATTTTTTTTTTTTTTTTTTTTCGGTACGCGGCCCTCTCACTGCTGTGGCCTCTCCCGTTGCGGAGCACAGGCTCCGGACGTGCAGGCTCAGTGGCCATGGCTCATGGGCCCAGCCGCTCTGCGGCATGCGGGATCTTCCCAGACTGGGGCACGAACCCATGTCCCCTGCATTGGCAGGCAGACTCTCAACCACTGCGCCACCAGGGAAGCCCTACATGAATAAATTTTAATTGTAAAAGTAATACATGAATATATGCTTTTTGTAAAAAAATGAAACACTACAGAAATACATGGACATGTATGGAGTAAAAAAAACAAAAGTGCCTCTTGAGACCCACCACCCCAGTCCTATTCCCCTTCCCACAGATTCCTTCCAAACATTCAACACAGCAACAGCAAAATGCAATAATTGTATCATATTTCTATTATTCTTCAACTTTATCTCATTTACATAATATGTCTTGGTGATCTTTTCTGTCAAAATATATAGACTGACTTTATTTATTTAACTACTATATCCGTAGTATAGATGTAATACGATTTACTTAGTCATTCCCCCAAGGATTGTTTCCAAGTGGTCTTTTCAGAGCATTCTTTCCTTTGATTATTTATTATCCAAGAATTGGAGTTATGAGATTGTAGAAGGAAATTTATTATAACGTAAAAACAGTCATGAATGAACCAGTCATTTATAAAAGAAATCCTTACAAGCTTCCTTTTTCTTTAACACCTTCCCGCACCTAGTAGGGCTATTTGTCACATGACCTCACCTCCTTCAGCACAAGAATAGGGATGTAGCCCAGGGGACCAATCAAGGTATCTTTTTCATTAGATACAGTGATTATTATGGGAGTAGCCAATGACCCATAAAAGGACAAGCAGGGATTGACAGAGACAGAAGCCTTTATCTGTGATCATCTTTACTAAATGTGGGTAACAGATTGACCCATATTAATCTGTGTGTGCCACCATGTGGAGAAAGGGGGTGGGGAGAACTCAATCCTTTTATAAATCATTAGAATACCTGTGTCCAGTCATGTCTGACCTACCCAGGGACTTTCTAGTTATGAGAGCCAATAAATTATGTCTCTTTTTCTTTGGTAAATTTGAATTTCATTCCTTCATGTGGTAGCAAAAAAGCTCTGAAGATAATTGTCTAATATCATGGATGTCTTCCCATGTCAGTACTTATATTTTCACTTTATTATTTAAAAATGGATATAAAAGCACACATACTGGGGCTTCCCTTGTGGCGCAGTGGTTGAGAGTCCACCTGCCGATGCAGGGG